GGTAATTTTTACTGCTTTTAAATTGTACCTTCTGTGCCATGACCAAAAAAATCCCCACATGTGGAACTAATATAGGTTTATCTTATCTTTTATCTTCAGCTGAAAGCCATAAAAGTATTTCCTTTTTCCAAATACTACACTGCTTACTTTCTTAACAGCCAGTGACGCTCATTAAGAACACGAAATTATTATTTCAAAATAACAGTTAAATGACAGTTGTATTTTGGGGCTGAGGCCTTAGTCCTGACCTGTGCAGCTGTAAATAATGTGGCTCACACATCAAGGTCAAAAAAGTCAAAGAAAGACAAAAATAAAATAAACCAGACCTTACCAAAATATTATGTCCAATCTGCAGAGACTGCCAAATCTGATGTATTAACAGTGTAACGTGTTACATTTCAGTGCAACAAAATGACTAATATAATAAAATGATTGTGTGAACTGTAGATACACTTATACAGCACATGATTTGAACGAAAACTGCTAGGCGAGGATCCAAAAAGATATCTCTGAAGTTCACAGGGCCTGTGTTTGGAAGCCACTGACCTTACCGCCAGTCAGTGGAAAGAACAAAGCCAGCGAGGTCACCTTGTGTCATATTTAGCCTACCAACAAGCTCCAACCTCTCAGCTATATCAAGGTCAAAGAAATTTGTGACCAGGCCGTGGGGGAGGGGTGCTTTGTCTCCATAAAGGATCCCCTTCTGTGCACACTTATACAGGATGTAGCTGCTGAACAGCACGTCTTTTCCTACCCTCCTAAAAATTACCATTGCACAATCCAGCCGTCGTCCACGTACATGTCAAAACATCACGTCTTCATCAAGCCCCGAGGTCGTTTTTCCCAGTTTGTGCTATGCCTCAAGTGTCCTGCATTGTAATTTAGTTACGTAAGAGTCCAGGCCCGAGTCCTGCCGTTGGCTATCACGCAGTGAAAACTATTTCGAAGTCACGCGCACAGCGGGAAAAACGATTACTTGTAGATAATGATAAGTCGACACGGATGTGGTGGGATGCAAATGACGGGAAGGACGACGACATTCGTGTCGCATCACGACTCTAGCTTCCAGAGTGGTCCTCTCCAATTTAAATAATTTTTTTATATCATTTTTAAAAAGCTAATATTAAACAGTGTTTTAAAGATGTGCAAAACAAGCGTGAAATCGCCCAAATTTTAACGATGCTGCAAAGATTGCGCAGACACTAGTGGAACTTACTATTCGCTGAAAATGGTTATCTTTAGCTGCCGTTTTAACTCGGAGCATCCATTTCTGATGCGAACACGACGCCGCTTCAGAAAACAGCCACAACAACAAGAACATGAACTTACAGGTTTAAAGAAAGCCTGGTATTCGTTATCTGGTCCCGGAGGAGGAACAAGGTGATGTTCGGTGGCTGGTGAAGGATGAACAGAAATGTGGTGTGTCGCTGAAAGGGCTGCTGTGAGGAGGGGGAGGGTATAGGGGGAGGTGGATGTGAATAGGCTGGCTATTAGAAAGAGGTGGTGCGGGTCTGCCTGCTACCCTGAATTTACACCTGTTTAATCAGACTTAATCAGGTGAAGATGAAGGCTTTCGTTCAGTGATTCAGATCAGCTGCAGTTTTGCCATCTGCTGCAATAAAGACGTCCAGTCATAAACATCATTGTACTCACAAGCACTTTACTTTGGATCGTTTAAATATATGAACGTCAAACGATATCTAAAGTGCAAGACTTTTAATTTCCACATCAGTGTGCTATGAAATTGTTATGTTCCCTTGGTTCCAAGTTTCGTTCTCCACTTGCTGCCATTAAAGACTGGTAAACTACATGTGCACTACTTTTAATAAAAATGATTATGGAAACTGCTCATTGTTGGTAAATACAACAATGCATAAGGCAAATGCAGTATGTGAACAGAAAGGGAAGTAAGAAAGGGAATATTGGGGAAAGTGCAAGACATGCAGAGTCAAAAGTCTGTAACAAAACACCCCACTCCCATCAAAGTAGCTGCTTTCTTGCCTTATCAGTATTCCTCATTCTCTTTATCTCTAACACTTCAACGGCTTCCAATATTTCTCCCAGCCATCATTATAAACAGTCATCAGTTTGTCTCTATGAGGAAGAAATACGCAAAAAAAAAAAAAAACAACCCCAAAAAACACACAAAGTAATCAAATATTCAGGTCCTAGTTTGAAACAAACAAAATTAAATATCTTGATGCATGCTCAATCACCTGGGCAAGAAAATCTCAGAAAGTTGATTCTGTTCATTGGACTGGACATTGCATTTTCAGCAGTACGCTACATTTAGGTCAAAGTCAAATTCAGCTTTATTGTCAAAAACTGTATGTACAGATCATACACATTTGAAATTGCATTGCTCCAAAGGGTATGGAAGAAATATAGTATCATCAGAATTCAACTATTTTTAGACATTGAATTTATAACACTGATTTTTTTATCCTCCAAATTTCCCTGCAAAAAAATTTCACCTGCAAAAATTCACCTGCAAAAAATTCACCT